CCCCTCCTTTTTCCTCTCTTTTCACGTCCTTTTCTTCCTCTCTCTTTTCTCCCTCTTTATTTCTCTCTCTCCTCTTATTTCTATCTATCCTTTTCTCTGTTTCTCCCTTTTCTCTCTGTTTTTCCTCTTTATTTCTCTCTTTTTATTTTTATTTTTTCTTTCTTCTTTATTTCTTTCTCTTCTCTCTTTTTTTTTTATTTCTTCCCTTTTCTTTCTTCTTTATTTCTCCCTCTTTTTTCCTCTCTATTTTTCTTTCTTTTTTCCCCTCTAATTATTCAGGATACATACACTAGCCAACAAACAGCGTACCTGAATGCTTTCTAATTCAAAGAAGAGTAAAGCCCTCATCCATTTTCATCCTCAACACCCTCCACTCACTTCCCTGTACCCATTCTCACCATTACACCCTCCACCTCAGTACAGGCTGCCCGTTTGCCATAACTTCAAAACTAGTGATTGCTAACTCAGCAACTATTATATTGCTTTGTCCATCTTGTGTACAGTTCTTTGCTTGTTCTATTCAAGTTCATGACCCTTCGTTTTTTGACTTGCATGGACATGTGGCCTGTGTCTATGACTCTGTAATGGCTTGAAGTGGACAGTCTCATGAACCATTTCTCACCCTGACATTTCTTTAGCTGTCCCACCCAGGCCCATCTTTCTACCCTTCTGTCCTTGAATATGGTCAGTTAGAGTGCAGTTAAACTGACCAGTATCTTTTGCATTCTCTCTCTTTCTCTCTCTCTCTTCATTCACTACAATAACACAGTTGTTGTCAACACTATCTAATCAAGGTTAGTTGTTCCATGTCAAGGCATCATCATAAAAAAGAAATCGTGGGAGGTAAGAAAGATATAGGAATGAAAAATCAAACAAAAAATGTCTGAGATAGAAAGAGAGAACTAACTGAAGAAAGAGATAAAGATGAAAAAAAAAAAACAAAGAAAGAAAAATTAAACAAAGAATAAAGTGAAGGAAAAAGAAACAAATAAATACTGAAATAATATTCCATGATGACAATAGAGACAAATATGAAAAATTATGTTGAAAAAATAAAAAAAAAGATAAAGAATAAGAAACAGTGAGTAAAGAAGAGAAAAAAGAAACATTGCTTAAATGAAAAAAAAAGTGACAAGAAAATGAAATGCAAGTGAAAGAAAAAAAGAGAAATGAAAAATAAGTGAAAAATGCTGAACAAAAAAAGAATAAGTATAAATAAAAAATAAGAAAAAAAATAAAGAAATTGCTGAAGGAAAAAATAAAGAAGAAAAAAATCAGTAAAATGTAAAGAAAGAGAAAAGAAATTGAAAGAAGTCAGTTGCTTTAATGAAGAAGAATACAAAAAAACTGAGCCAAAATAAAAGAATAAAGGAAGAACAAAATTAATTAAGACTTCTTCATTGTACTGCATCCATTCAGAATGTGAGCAATCATGGCTCTCCACAAGTTCCTCTCATTTGTAGCTTGTGGTAAGTTTTGTCTTTTCATTATCTCTCCCAATCCCTGTTTTGGTTTCAGTTTATACAAGATCTTTAGTAAGGTTACTTGCTGCTTTCCTTTGTCCCTCCTGCTTTTAATATGCCCTGTGAGTGTCAGATTCTGCAAGTCCTCTTTCCTCATTATGTATCCTAAAAATTTCAACAGGAGTTCCTGCTGTTTCTCTTCTGTTTGGTTTGTTTTATGGCATATCAACCTCTATGGGTGCCAACAAGATTTTTATTGCTGGTAATAATTTTTTTCAAAAAATGTATTGCTGGTAATATTTTTTTTCTTCTCAAATGTATTTCTGGCAATATTTTTTTCCAAAATTGTATTGCTGGTAATAAGTTTTCTTCAATAATTCATTTCTGGTAATAATTTTTTTTACAAAAACCTATTTTTACACTTTCATAGTATTTTGAACCCAGTCTGGGGGTTAACTATTTGCCCATAGCTGGGGCCCTAACAGGTGCTACCACCCTGGATCAGAGTTGATCTGGGAACACCAGCAAGTAAGAGATGGTTCCATGCTTCTCAAAACCTCCTTATCAGAGGCCTTGCTGTTGAATGTAGTTTATCATCTTATCCAGGATGCTTCCCTTCTGTGTCTCTCTATATTCTTATTTTGAACCATAAAGAACAAAAACAAATTTGAATTAAGTAAATGAAAAGAAAAAGCAGATGAAGAAAATTACTGTATTTTGACAACATATAAGACACATGGGTGTATAAAGCACACCCCAATTTCAACCAGGCAGATCAAGAAAAAATTAGTAATTAATAAAATTAGTAAATCTACATATGGCATATAAGACACAGGGGAATTTTAAAAGATATTTTTAGTAAAAAAAAGTGCACCTTAAATGCTATCAAATACTATAGTTAAAATTAGTTAAAAGGACACTGGTTCAATTCTGCTGATATTGGATTGAATATTTTTAAATTGATGGTCAAGTGGTCATCTCAGTAAATTAATAAAAAGAAGTCATTAAGCTATTGCAAAAACAAATAACAAGATCAT